ATCGTCTTTTGGAATCCGTGTGTTGGTTGTCGTTTTTTTAGTGTTCAATCGTTCAGTTTAATGTGAAGTAACTTTATATTAGATATGTTTATCATTTTATCAGGAAAGCAACACAAGTTTTAACCATACTTAACTATCTTTTCTCTACAAGGAAGCTGACTTTAAACCGTAATCCTCAGTTTGATAAATAGTAAAATTCCATGATAGATGGTTGGAAGTAGTAGTTAGATAACCTTTCAAGAAAATATATGAGATTCAATAAAAGGGATAGATGAGTATGATGTTGTTCAGTTGTTTCTAGAACTCCATGCTTGTCAAGTTCAAAATAATTCTGTAAGTTCAAAACAAGGCTGTTAATAACATTGAACCTAACTAGTAATTCCACTAACCAAGCTACTAAACGAAAGAGAAACTATCATTTGGGATGGTAGGAAACTTTAAGATTTGATTGATATTTGTATTTCACTACTCAATTACTATTAACTCAGATCAATTTTTCGAATGGTACCTAATTGCGATAACTAAATTACATAGTTATCCTTTAAACTTAAATCAATCTTTATACAAAGATAATTTCATATCATTGAATCAATCTGGATTAGTATCAATAATTCCATTTTCCATCGTACTTGTACAAATCCTTAGAGTTAGAGACTTAACTTTATACCGTTTGAATAAGTTTATGAGGTTTATGGTTAACAAGTCAAGTAGATAAATGTCTTACATATTGGAAATGACAATGATTGGGTTTGAGGATCACTGATAATATAAACACTAGGCTATAGATTTATCAAGTTGACGAACCAAAAATGGAAAGCAACACATTCTAAATTCTACAGATATGTATAAAAAACATTGTTTTTGTTTTAACCTTTTGACGGAAGTAACTATCAAATTGCTTTATTTTTAGAAAGAAACGACTATTACAATTAACGGTTGATAATTGTTGTTTTTTCAGTCTATTCTAAGTAGAATTGATGTTAGAGTTGGATTTTGACCAATATTCAAGTGGCTTAATGGAGCTTATAGAAGTGGTTTAATTTTATAAAAGCACTGGACAGTTATTTTGTCTTAATATATAACCAATGAACAGCGTTCATTCATGAACTCACAGGTTGATCTAACCAAATATATACTCAAGTCTCTCAACGAGCGCTTAACCTATAACTCACTGAGATGGAACCTAATGCTTTATATCCTTAGGTACAACATTCAAAAATATCTGTGCGATAACGCAAACTGATTGAAGTCAAATATACAAATCATGTAATGTTGGCTCAGTGGTCTAGAGGTTAAGTGATCAGCTCAAGACTCAAAGGTTCAGGCTTAGATCCGTATTCAGTTTGTGAATGTGCACTAATAGATGATCTCATACTAGAATGAAACAACTCCCTGATGCCTCTTAATTTTTAATGAATGTTTAATTCGTAAAATTTGATTTTTTTGGTTATGGGAAATTTATATTCCTCATATTACTAAATTTAATTACCTACAATCGAATTAATAACACATGAACAATGCAATATACCAATAGAGTTTATCGCTATTCATCCAATCTATCAGGTAAACTTATATAAGATTGTGAGTGAAAAACGATTGAAACATCTTAAAGTTGGACAAAACTCTTATCTGATTTACTCAAGTTATCTAACTTAAATGAAAATTTAATAATTAATCATTTAATTATTAATTATTCATTTATATTTCATTCTGTCTTAACGTGACGTAGAGTAATTTTATTCAGTTAACAAGGGGAAATTGGAAATCTTCAGTTATTTTTACATTGACTATTGTTATTATTTCACGTCATTACAAGATACGTTTTTAATTAGTTAATAACTGTATTATTTTGAGTTCAGTTAGCTGATTATTCGCACGTATATAAACACTCTTCGTGGAGGAGCATAGGATGCACACTAGAATTTTCCATCGAACTTTGTACGGTGCAGTCTTTTCTAGTTGTTCCCAGTTGCTATTCATTCCTATGACATCTGCTTCCAATTATCGACGTAATATGTTCCGTGCTCTTCCTCTTTTCCTCTTTCCTTCAGGATTTCAAGATAGCGCTTGCCTCATTATGCAGTTTGATGTTTCCCACAATGTGTGTACTATCCATTCCCAACTTCTTTTCTTTATTTCCTCCTCAGCTGGAAGTAAGTCTGTTCTCTCCCACAGTCGGTTGTTACTGATAGTATCCAGTCAACGTATATTCAGTATCTTGCGTAGACAACTTTTTATAAATACTTGAATACTTTTGATGATGGTTGTGGTAGTTCTCCGAGTTAAAGCTCCATACAATAGATGTAACTGACTTGACGTTCGTATTGAAGATTCTAACTTTGATGTTGGCTAACAGTTATTTTGAGTTCCAACTGTAGGGATGCTAGCTTTGCTTCGCCATTCCTTGCCCTTACATCTGCATCAGATCGTCCTTCTATGTAGATGATACTCACTAAGTACGTACAATTTCCCATTACTTTCAGAGCCTGTACATCAAGTGTGATTGGTTTGATGCTCTATGTATTGTATTTCCGTATCCCTATTTTTTCGCTTGTGTACGATGATACCTGATTTTTCAGAGTCTGCTGCTACATTGGCTGTCTTTTCCTGAATTTGTTGGTGAGTATGTGTTAGAAGATCCAGTTCATCTGCAAGTCTAGATCGTCTAGTTGCGTGCAAGCTGTTCATTGCTTTCTGTGCTTCCCATCAGATGTGGAGGTCTTCATAATTCAGTCTACCACCAGAAGAAAGAGAAAGGGAGAGTTAGCAGCGTTGTCTGACATCAGTCCTTACTTGGAATGCGTCTGTCAGCTGCCCTCCATACGCAACTTTGCATTGTAGTTTGTCGTATGAATTCCGGATACATACATACATATAAATAATACTGTTATTTTTCAAGAAATTCGCTATCACTCGTTTTTATCAAAATAAATAACGTTCCTTTGATAAACGTTTAAAGTATTTAATGCATTTAAAGGTTGTTAGCATATAAAGAATTATTTAGAGATACCTTTTAGGCAGGAAATAACAACCCGATATATAGAAAAAATGGATTTTGAATAGCAGCGGAATCCAGGACCCGATCCTCATCCTATTTAGAATTCGTGAGCTTTGATAGACACATCTGAACTCGAATTCAACACATCTCACGTTAAATGCCAACACGTCATCTAATCAGCTTCTGAGTTAAGATATTCATTTACCTGTTTAACGGGCATGATATTTATATGATTATCAGTGAGGATATAAGTTATCCGATACTTGATATTCAAAGACTGAGTTTCTGTCAGTCTTGTTCTCGGAACCATACTACTGATAAAAAAAGGTAATACAGACTGAAAAGGTACTAAGAAAGTATGGTCTAATAATTTTTTAGTAAATTATGATTATTGTTAGTATGATATTTTTTTAAAACAGACCACATACTTATTACTGCCTTGATGTCAAGGAATAAAGCATTGATCACACGCGCATTTCTCTGTAATCAGGACTTCTCAATCGAATGTATTGTTGTTGTTCTAAATGTAGTTCTGATCCAGTACCAATCACATTAAATGTAAGCGCTTTATGAATAAGCTACTGAGTCCAGTTAATCACTGGCTTATTCATTAGATCTGAGAATTCTCCAATTTGAAAGAAGCGGGCATCCTAAATTTTACCTCTATCCATAATAAAAACATATAAAAGGTTCTCCGTAGTTTTTAAAGTAATAAATATACCCTAACCATATATAATATATTCTATTGTTACTATCTGCATTACTTCGTCTAGTATTATAATCTCTTTATTACAACATCATCTCAATTCATTGTTCGTATGTCTTCACGGAATTAATAGTTAGAAAAATTCATACAAAAATATACGATTCTACAGCTTGATAATAAATTCATTGAACAGAGATTGCTTTGCTGAATTTTACGTTTTCATATTGCTTAAATGTTGACTTTTATAAAATTTTCGAAGTATTGATGATGAGGTAGATACAATTGAATAATGTTGATTTTAGATAACAGTTTTGTTCAAATTATGAAATTTTAATTATTGCTGAGAAATTTGTTTAGGATTAATAAAAATTTTAATATTCGAATTGATGAATCAACTCATGAGTTTAACTATTAAAATTATACCAATCTTCACAAAACCTATTCTAATAATCATCATTATCATATGCTCACTAGTGACTGGTTTCAACATGTACTTCGTGAAGTTCTAGTGAGAAGCCATGATCAATGGAGTCTATCCCATTTCGGGTAAAGACAGTTGTCTATCTCATATAATGGATGAATAAATGAGCAACAATTCATAGATCGATTAAATTTAGACATTAACACCGTTGGATGCTGATTCAGTGGTCTAGACGTTAAGCGTTCACAAATGAGATCGAAGGTCCTGAGTTTGAGTTCCTTTGGTAAGTGATCATGTTTGCTCATTAGTGAGGAGTTTCATACTAGGACATACTAGACCTTTCAGTACTTTCAGATTTTTAATGATGGTCTAGCTTATATCAACTCATGAATTCAACTATATTAATATCACTATAATCTCCATAAAACCCATTGTGATCACAAGATAAATTTAGCTAATAATTCTTTTTAGAAACATCTATCTATCTATCTATATCTTTAAGAAAATATTCTATCAAGTTATTATAACGATTCTTTCGAGAAAAAAAATGAAACAATAACAAACTTCATAGTTCTCATATGTTATAATTATCTTTTCCATGATACTCTTTTCCACCCACTGTATACATTTCAAATAAAATAATAATAATAATGAACCAATAAGAATAAAAATTGATAGATTAGTTGAATTCATTCAAATAGATAATAGAGATCATTTCTATCAACCAATCATAATTCACGGGTCAAGGTTATATCGTAAAATTCAACGAATCATTGATAAATATAGGGAAAATTGATTGGGAAAAAAATCTTGTTCGTATTGAGTTATATATATATATCTATATATCTTATTAATATATAAAGTACATTTGAGTAGTTTTTATCTCTTAAATGAATAAAAACAAAAGTTTAAAAAAATGATAAAAAGATTATTTATGATTATCACTTTTTGAATTTTTATTTGTTTTATTTATCAACATTGAACAATTTCATTTATTTCTTAATAAAATCTATGAAACATTTAAACAATATATAGGAATCATTTTAAGGACAAATATATCATCAGATACATGCATACAAACACACACACATACATACATACATACATACATACATATATACACATGTACACACCCAGAGACTAATAACAACCATGTTGTCAAATTTATCTAAAAATTGACACCGAAAAATAAAATTATCTCAACAACAAAAAATTATTGAAAAGTTTACTTAAATATGAAAGATTTTAAAACTGATTATAAATTACCAACTAATTTACCTTATTCAACATCATCTTCATCTTCATCCTCAACCTCATCCTCGTCAACGACGTCATCATCATCATCATCATCGATATCATCATCTTCATCATCATCATCATCAGTAATGTATATAAACAATAAACTATCAGATAATACATTAAAACATTCATTTTATATCACTGATCATAATCAGAATAATAATAATAATACTAATAATAAGGATAATAATAATAGTACTACTAATTGTAATACCACTGAACGTAAATTAAAAACAAGATTAGAATCATTTCCAAAAATGTATAGTATCCAAGAGAATATTGATTATGAATTCGGTATAAAATTACCAAAAATGATTACAAATTATCATAATAAACAAACAAAATATTATTTAAATTTAAATTATAATAAATTTTATAAAAAACGTAAAACATTTAATTTAATGAATTATACAACATATAAGCCAATATTGAATTATTCTTATAATAATGAAGAGAATGATATCAATAAAGGAAATAATAAATTATCATTACAACGTTCACTTGTAACTAGTTGTACGAATACTACTATTACTACTACTACAACAACTACTACTACTGCTAATACTACTTATAACAATAATAGTAATCATAATAATAATAATAATACAAATAGTACATTTTATAAACGTTCTGATTATGGACGATTTAAACGTAGTAAAGATTGTGGACCATCTTTATCTGATGTTCCAATGAATGTTGATTTTAATACATTAAATCCATCATGTACATCAAATCGTTATCATATATTTAATTTTGAACAAGTGAAATATTTAGATGAAATAATGAATTCATTTATAAGTATTTCACCAAAGCCTTTGTATCAAAATTTTTTAGGTACAAATAATATTATATCAACATCATCATCATCATCATCATCATCATCATTAACAACTACATCATTACCAACAATCATTAGTAAACCATGTTCATGTTTCTGTACACATGATCCAATTATTAATGATTTTATGAAACAAACATATACAAAACATTCAGATCATTTATCATCTGATTGTTTGATTAATTCGACTAATTTTAACAATACGGAAAATCGTGATAATATTGATAAAGTAATCTCTTCATCTGTTCCAACTACAGTACCAGTATCAAAAGGAAATAATTTAGTAACATCCATTTCGGACGGCTCTTCCAATAGTGAAATCAATAACACAAGTAATGATAATACCATAAATAATGCTTATCAATATCTAACAAATGATTCTTGCTTACCTAATCATCACAATACAATTTCACATTCTCCTATTCCGTTTACATTACAACAACCACCGAAACTACCAACTATTCGTACACAATTAAAGAAACTTATTAGAACAATACGCGATGGATTACTGAAAGAATCAATACCAGTTAAAGAGATACGCTTAAATGGTGAAGTTGCAAGTTCTATTATTATTGGTAAGTTTTAAACAATCATTTGTGTGTTTCTTGTCCTTAAGAATTGTTGTCCTAATGTCTATCTTGCTGATTTCACAATTTTCTTTTATAAAAGTGCAAACAATTACTTGTGAATGACTATATGAGATGATAGTAATAATAAAAAAAGGTGTGGCTTATCACTCAAATCACGAACCGGTCAAAGTTAGACAATCATTGAAAAACTAAAATGCTGGTATAGAGTTACTCCATAGTGCGCATCCACGACTCCACAAACGTGTATCAAACCCAGAAAATTCGGTCTCGAGCGTGAACACCTAACCTCTAGACCACCGAGTAGCTATGCGACGATGTTAATATATAACATCAATTAATCTACAATCTCTATAACTTGTTGATGAAAATTGTCATGTGCTCGTTATTGTCTGGCTTCGAGAGGAAATATCCGGAGTCCCAGTGAGGAGTCGTGATCAGTGGATCTAAACAGTGTCGTGTATGAGGCAATTATCGACTGGGAACAATGAAAGATGGTCGGACTGATTGAATTTATGCTTGTAAAGCATTGGGTCCCAGCTCATTGGTCATGAGACTAAGCATTCGCGAGCGCGACCGGAGGTCCTAGATTTGACTTTCATTTTAGGGGTCCTAGGTAAGCATTTGGTCCACCAGGGTTCTTGGTACCTGTGTGGTTGCGCCACAGGATTGAGCTGTACTATTCAGATTGTAGCGTTAAGGCCTGTACGGTGTCTGGTTCCTCCACTAAACGGGGTTGAGCTGCACTGTTTGGGTTTTTACGTGAAAGTCCGGATGGTGTCTGGTTCTCCTGAAAACCAATGTAAAATTACCCTGGCCCACAAGGGTATATTATATAACTGTGTAACTTAGTTAGGTAAGCATTACTTAACAATTTCATATTAAGGCGGAATGACTATCCTCTTCTTCCATGTCTTTAACGGCCATTTCTCTTCGATCGGCTTGTGATCGTAATAAAATTTTACAATCTGAGCAATCCCATAATGACATCTGCGGTTTAATATGAATATTAGCGTTTGCTTTATTATAAGTAAACAAATTTTCATACCTCTCACTTTTGTAGTTCATAAACTTCTGGCCTAATAATATCAACAATTTTACAAATGATGGGATCGGTTATTATTATTTTAAGATTTATATAAATGCCAATAATCTATGCGATTATTTTTATTAACAATGACCTCTAGTCAACACGCTATCTCTAATTTAGATTCAAATTTTTCAAACATGGTTAAAGCCAGAGATAATTTGTTTTTCAGAATGATATATTTCTATGCATATTTTGGTAAAGAAAAACCACTCAGCTGCACATATTAGGCATATAATTCGATTACACTTAAACCAATTAATCTATATGGTATAATCCTGAACAAAATGAAATATAAAGAATTTGTTTAAACATGCAAATAGTGTCATCCATTTACCGAGTTTAGTAACCGGCAGAGATTTATTACATGTGTTTGTAAATATCAGTTGACAACAGTATAATAGAAATATAATAATTACAAATGAGCCACATCTGGTGATTTCTAAACAAAACAAACAACATTTATATTATGTACCTATTGAAATTTAGATCCAGTGGAACGGTTCAACGCAGTTTCATGCACTTGAGTACTGAACCAAAGTAGAGATCAACAGATATTGAACACAATGCAAAATTCATTCCATACTGCATTATGTCTGATTTGAGTTTAATTTATATCTAATATACTTATGCAATAAATGTTAGTATTATTTTAAGACATAATTGTTATCCTCAGTTTAAATTTTAGAATAACCTAAGCCAGACCACCATTGAAAACCTGGAAGCACTGAACAGATGTCTAATTGTAGTACGGAGTTACTTAAACACAATACGCAACCATGACCCTGGACTAAGAAATAGAACCCCAGATCATCAGTATTGTGTGTGAATGCTTGATTACAACATCACTAGCCCAGGAAATAAAGCTGAATATATCTAACCTCAGTCAGTTTATGATTTAATCTATGAAAATTGTACAATCTCTTCAAAATAGCCCTCTGTTATTATTAGGTTTTATTGTTACAAAATACAAACTATCTGAATGGTTATTGAAATCAATTTAATCAACAATTTACTAGACTATTCAAACAGTGATCAACCACTTTTTAGTGTAAAAATGTTTTGTTGGAGATTGTTTAATTGTATATTACATTGTTGAATGATTTTAGTCAAAAAATATTCAATAAGCAATAAGCATTAAATAATGGTCTCATCATAGTATAGAACCTAGCAATGAACACCCTCAGCAGTAAAAGGTAGCAAACCTTGAACTTCTGCTAAGTGTAAATCATCAGATGTCAGCTCTCACAAAACCTGAAAGTCTTTGGTACGATTCTTTATGAGATCAACGATATACACTAAAAGTTATGAATGAGCATTGTTAATACGTTCAGCATTTGTATAGTTGATTGAAATCTATGAGTTATTGACATACTTATTGCTGAGTCAATAATCTACCAATGATGTTGTATAGGAGCAAATAACTTACTGATTTTTGAATCAGTGGTTTGATTATCATTTAGAAAATCTATAGTTAAAACCTAAACAATTTCATCAGTTTATCATAATGAAAAGTGTCGTTCTATAATGAAATGATTGTTTGATGTCAGACACTAACATTTTTGGATGCCGGCTCATTGGTCCAGTTGGTTAAGCGTTCGCGCGCGAGACTGAAGGTCCTGGATTCGAATTCTGTGAGCGGGATCGTGGATGCGCGCTGCTGAGGAGTCCCACGATAGGACGAAACGGCCATCCATTGCTTCCGGGTTTTCAATGGCTGTCTAAAATTAATCGCTTCAAGATCTCAATCAAAAACTTAGTAATCTCGACAACCCCTATACGTATAATGAAGTGGTTAAAGTTATTTTGTGAAAAGAACATTTCATAACATAATTTTCAGTTATGATTCGGATTAAATTGACGGTATATTTAATAAATAGGAAATGATAATGTATCATGTGATTAGTTTAGCCCTTAGACATAATACTATCATCAAAACAATGTTACACAGTATAATAGTCAAATGAATGTACTGCCTTTTTGTAAAGAATACAATTTTTTGAAAAAAAGTTTTTCAATAGTTGAAACCATTAGTCAGTTGAAGCTAGAACACCATTGAAAACCTGGAAGCACTGGACGGCCGTTTCGTCCTAGTATGATACTCTTCAGCAGTGCGCATCCACTCATGATTTCAACTATTGAAATTACTAAAATCTCCACGAAACCCCTTCTGATAAAAAATTTTTTGTTTATTTATATTTAAGTATATTTTTAAAATTGATCAGTTTATTCGTTTGTGTAGTCGTGAATGTACCATAATATGGGATTCCTATACTAGAACGAAACAACTGACTAATGCTTCTCTATTTTCAATGGTTATCAGAATAAAATTAGTTTCAGTATTCAATCGAGTTGAGATAGATATAAATAGATCCCGAATTAAAAGGTTGTAAGATGATTTAAAAGTTAATTAAAAATTGGGAGATATAAATAATTTACTACGTAGTTTTTAAAATACGAAATCCAAGACCATTAAATATTCAATATTGAAGCAATTCATTAACTCTGAGCATATTTCTTCCGCCAGATATTTCAAAAAAATTCACATGAATATATGAATAGAATCCAATGGAGATTTAAAATGTTATCTAATCAAATTTTTATTAAATCACTAAAATTTCATCTTTATTTTATATTATAGTCAGCGTCTAGGCTTCTTGCTTTTACTCAGACCACGAACTAGTCTACACAGTGATTGAAAACCAGAATGCATTATTCGTTTCATGTTTCTTTCTAATACGGGACTACTTACTAGTAGTATATATCCATAACCCTGTCACTGAGGATGAAACTCAAGAGCTTTAGTCTTACGCATGAACGTTTAACCTGATTGTCTAATTTAAAACGGTTTATAACTTCATTTTTATAATAATATGATCAATACTATGAAATAACAATTTATACTGATTGCTTGACACGATAATGTTGAAAGAAATAATTATCATGAGCCAAGTAACCAATAAAATATTTATTAACCATCTTTATAATGTACAAATTCACGGGTGACTTTCAATAGTTGAGATAAAGAGTCAAATGAAGCTAGACCATCATGGGAAACTTAGAAGAATTGGACGGCTGTTTCGTTCTATTGTGAAACTCTTCATCAGTGTGCACACGTGACCCCGCCTCACGGGGTTCGAACTCACTTGCTTACTTACGCCTGTTACTCCTCGTGAAGGGGCATAGGCCGCTTACCAGCATTCCCCATCTAACTCTATCCTGTACAGTCCTTTTCAGCTCCTTCCAGTTGTTATTCATGCTTTTCATATCTGCTTCCATTTCACAAAGTAATTTGTTCTTTGGCATTCCTTTTTTCTGCTTCTCTCCAGGATCCCAAGTTAGGGCTCGCCTTGTGATGTAGTTTGGTGGTTTGCGTAATGTATGTCCTATCTATTTCTATCATCTTTTCCTAATTTCTTCTTCAACTGGAAGCTGGTTTGTTCTCTCCTAGAGAAGGGTTGGAACCCGAGACCTATTTATTATGTATCAATGAATGATAGAGTTAAACATTTCACCAAATACACTTCATTTCTGAATGATACACAATAAATCTTTACTGTATCATGATGATTTTTTTTCTCTTTTACAGGTTCAGAAAATAAACCAACATTTCATGATATAGAATTATTATTTTATGTTGATTTATCTAATTCTACAACATGTACAAAAATTAAATCAGTAATATATACATGTATTGAAAATATTTTAAAAGATACAATTATTTTAGAAAATTTATCAAATATTACAAATCATTGTATATTTTGTTATCATTCTACATTACCATTGAATATATCAACAATACATACAACACAGAATCCTTTATCATCAACATCATCTTTATCATGTAATTGTAAATATTGTTCATATTATAAATTGAATTCATTCAATATACCGGTTCATTTAAATAAAGAAAATGTAGAAAATTTAAATCAACAAAAAATCAATAAAAATCAATTATCTAATTACTATTTTCCTATCAATCAATCATTTATTCATCGTCAACCCTTACATGAAAATCAATTCAATACTATATCATATAATAATAATATTATAAAAGAGAATCCATCTAAATATTTTATGTTAAATAATAAACAAACAATAAATAATAATAATAATAATTATGATTATTATAAATTAAATCATTCATTATGTCATTATCATTCATTATTATCATCTATAGAATGTCCAAAATGTTCAACATGTTCAACATTATTGAATCCATTCAATCAACATAACAATATAAATTATAATAATAATAATAATAATAAAAGTAATAATAATAATAATATTATTATGATTATTAAACAATATATACAAAAAATAATACGTATCTATAAACCAACAAATACTACTTATGATTCATGGTTACTATTTATTATTGGTTATCATACAATTAATAAATCGAATGAAAAAATTATAAAAATTAAATTTATTGATCGTATATCACGTGAATATGAATTTACAATTGATAGTTTTCATATAATAATTAATAATTTAATAAAATTTTATGATTTAAAAAAAAATAAAAAAAATAAAAAAATAAAAAAAATCAATAAAAATTATTATCCAATTATAGTAATTAAATCAGTAGCATGTAGTTATATAGAAGCATTAAAACATTTAAATAATAATATGATAGTAATATATAAACCAGAAGAAATATATGGTGGTGGATTATTAAAATATTGTAAATTATTAATAAATGGTTATAAACCATGTAAAATGATTGATATAAAATTAATGGAAAAATATATGTGTTCAAGATTTTTTATTGATTTTTCAAATATATTAAGTCAGTATTATCAATTAAATGATTTTTTAATGAATTATATAGAAAATAATTATAAAATAAAAATAGATTATTTAAATGTAAGTTTATTGATTTATTGATTTATTTAAATATTGAATTATTTTTTTTTAAATAATTTTTTTAAATTAAAAAAAATTGATTATTGATTAAAAAAATTTTTAAACTTTTTTTACGGTTAAGAATGTAATGACCTACTTTAATTAAGAGAAGGTGATTGGTACAATGTGTTCGAAAGTTCCATGTACTTATAAAAATTGTTGATCTGATTGTTAGAATGGGCATCGGTTATGTGGCTTCCGAAGGAACTCGGATTTTACCAGGAGACGTTATAGTTCTTCTAAATGAAGACCTAACTCCCAAGGCAGAGTTTAAATGGTTTAAATTATTATTTGTGGTTAGCATTTTTTTTAGCGAGTTAGTTTTCTACGGGATGGATTCGCTAATCCCATGCTCAATCCTCCTTCTTTACTTGGATATCCAGTGCTTCCAAGTTTTTCATGGTGGTCTAGCTTCAATTGACTCATGATTTCAACTACTAAAATAGTTGTTAATAATGAGAATTTCGTGGAATTTTTACAAAACCATTTTAGCTGATAATGATTTTTTTGAGTTTACAGTTAAATCACTCATTGTTTTTGTGGCTAGTTTAGTTATTAATAACACCTAGTGAAATAAAAGCGATTTAATGACACATTTATGAAATCTAGATTATTTTACGATTTGAATGGAACATCGAATTAAGGTGAATATTGAACATAGTTAAATCAAGAATAAAAATACAGCTGAACAGACTTGATCAATCAGAATGATCTCTATCTGTAGATAAAATTCAATAATGAAATACCTTTCTTTTTTTAATTTAAAGTGATCCTTAGAAAAATATTTGCATACCATTTAGAACATTTAAAAGTGATAGGAAAACGTCTTTGAGATGGTGAAGATATGTAGCTCAAGTAGATGATTTTGATCGTTTCGTTCTCTGAGCTGGATGATTTAGTCGTGGAGCTTTCATCGTTATTCTGAACAATATCATTGGCACAAACTGCAGGCAGAAGTGCTGATGATGTCGTTCAGAATCACGTTGAAAGCTCCACGAACAAGCCATCGATCTCAAAGAACAAAACTCCATGAAAATTTCTTTTTATCGTTTTAGTGTGAAAACGACAATAATAAAGAAATTAAGATCTAATATTTTTCCCTGCAATTCGAATAATCTTTCTCATTTCCCACATTGTCCGGATATTCTATGCACCTATAATAATTGTTGTTCTGATTATCAGAAGAGTTATCAGCTTTGTGACTTATAAATAATTTCGTATTTCATTATGATACGCCATAACTTTTCATTATAAAGATCCTTTGACTCCCAGGGTAGAGTTCAAATAACTTTTTTTCTAGATAGTGTTTGTTAAGAAGGTCCTTTTTTAATTATATTGGGTTGTTAATCCCACAAATAAACCTATCTCTATGGGACTTGAAACCTCAAGCGATCTTAGAACGGCTCTCGGTGCAGTTAAACGTACCAAATACGTAATCTTTTTATGCACAGATTTTAAATTATTATTATTATAAGCTTTATTGAATATTATATTTTCGGTACAATATAGAATTCTCAGCACAAAGTATTTCAACAAGTTTCCGTTTCTTTCTTCTTGGTCGATCCTGACGATAAATATTGAGTGATAGCCAGTTAGATGTTAGCAGTCCAGTAAATAAACATCTGAATAATGTATATTCTTTTCTCTGCATATTGCCAGCGACCACATTCTCTCTTATTGAGCTTTTTGTAACTTTGACAACGAAAGGTTGTAAACTTTTCAGAAATGCACCAGGATAGGTTATGCGATTAATATACATAATGATATATTAAAACAAACAAAAATAGATAAATTGTTGAAATATTTAGATGACAGGAACAGGTAGCCCAGATGCTCAAGCAGGCCGCCCAATTATGTACTAATCAGTTTTCATTACAGTTTCTTGTGTTCATAGTAAATTCTCAAATGTATCACTTTACTAGCGGTTCATTGATTAATAAGTGAGTTGGTAAAATAAAAATAGTTAAATAGGAAACCGTTTTACACATGACTTTTACATAATTTCATCTTTTCAGCAAATTGATTAATAAAAATATTATAGGAGATGATCAATTTTCCATAAGATTATTTACAGCTAATGAAATAAATTATAAGAGAACGCATTATTATGAATAGATTGATACCCAAATCAATCAGGTTTTATAACAATATTTCTACGGTAATAAGATAGACAAATTGATAATAAGCTGTGCAAAATGAACACTCTCTATCTCTCTTACTCGTTTTAAAACTGTTAAAACATCAGCTGACTATATTACTTCTCTTTAAAAAAAACCTTTGAATTTATACAAACTTTCTGTCGATTAATTGTAATAAGGCTTCAAGATTACTCAACTAAGTCAAAAGGAATTGTATCTTATCCAATAAAATATACTTTTGCCAGGATACAATTCTATCATGTTTAAACTCCATTTAAGTCTGTAAATCATCATTATTGTTATTTTAAATCTTAACGAGTGAGTTACCAAGTAATATTATTATAAACTTTAATATAACTAAATCCTCATTCATATATATCATTGATATTTTAAGAATTTCTTTTGGCGTAATTAGAAACAAACATGAAATACAAGAAACCTTCTTTGTAATAAACCGCTTAATTATATATTTGAATGATATTTAAATAATTAAATATAGTATAAATTGTAATATATTGATAACAGATAACTTGGCAACGACACTAAATATAGTGAACTAGAACACAATATGAAAGAACATCTTGATAAAATCTGAGAACTATATCGTAAATACTTCATTTGCAAAATGTCAGTCAGTCATCTCAAACTTCATTGTGTTTGTTTTTGGCATTTCCATACCAATCATTCGCTATTCACGTTCTCTTCTCTTCAATTTTCTTAACCTTCTACTTCCAGGCATTTCAATTTCAATTGATGATATATACTACTTATAATTATCGACATCAGTAGCACATAATACAACTTTATGTAGGTTAAACAAAATATTATTTTATTTAGTATAAAGAACTATTCATATTATATATCATTGATAATACCTAGGTATTCAAGGGATGAGTCATGTATTGAACAATTTCATTAGTAGAAATCTATGCCAAAACAGTCAGTGTAACATATAACATAATGAACAACTGTTTATTGTCACTACATAAAAGAAAGGATTATTAGTAATAAATAATCGTACCGAAATAAACTTTTGAAGTTGAGAAAAAAATATATCTATTTAGTATGTTTGCCAGTATACACTTGAATAGCGCGCTAGTTTTTATTTTCAAAGAAACAAAACAAAATAAAGATTATTGTTTAAATAATGTGGTATACATTTTCTTTTAGTTAATTTTCTAGTGGTTTTTTAATGTTACATAAGAAAAGTGGGTTGAATGGAATGTAATCGTCTTGATTTAATAAAACTAAACAGTATTAATGTCAAGTTATTACGACTTGATCGCACAAAAAACTTCAATGGTTAGTGGTTAAAGACAAATGGATTACCAATACAGATGGGATAATATATTGAATGTTAACTAAACAGTTTACATTTATGATGCAAACACTATTATATAGATTCTTCAATGGAATGTTATGTCCTTTATGGGTTAGAGCTAAATATGATGTCAGTTATTGTAATGGTTATATTGCATTTAAGTTTGTTTTAATTACTTGCAAGACTTTTTTTAAAAAAAAACATATAAACAATGTTTGGTCATTAAAGTATCATGTAGTTCAGGTTGATATTGATAAAGATGTAACTATTTTATCATAACTCTTCATTGTAATATTGTGATGCGTGCTACTTATATTGATATAAGTAGTATATAACGCGATTCAGGAATGTAGTGTCTGGCAGCAGAAGATTGGGAAGATCAAGAAAGGAAGAACGGGAGTAGAAAACAATTAGTATAGAAATGTATGAACAATGAAGTTCGAGATAATTATTGAACATTTTGCAAATTAGTTATTATAGTATGGGTTTTCTATTTTACCAGGTAACTCTGTAATGTTGGGCTAAATATAATTCGGTTGTCCTCACTTGTGTACTCCTTCATTACAATGTTATTACTATTATTACTATTAAAACGTTAGAGTTTAATTAGGGTGGTGATCTAATGAACCGATTACTCATTTTGTGCATTCGATAAGTTTGAGTCACTTGTTATCCAATCAGAATCAGTGTTCAGTTGTAAAAAGAATCGACAACAAAATGCAATACATTTATAGTGGGTCAATAGCTTGAATATGAATAATCACCCCTTAAATCGTGTAACACAACTGTAAAGATAGAAAAATTAGGTTTACCTATAAAGAGTTGAACTAAATTTATAAGTGAGAGTTAGGATTTTTTTATCATGTAATGACATCAGCTATAATACAATTATACTTTGCCATCCTTTTATTGGTAAAATTCCAAAACCTAGGATTAAGTTTTATAGCTATAAGTTAGAATGGAAGACTACTTATTTATTACTTAAACATCCTTGACTATGGATTGAATCACATCAGATACTCCCATAAACAATGTGTATCAAGTGAAGTTATTTCTTAAAATTTAACTAAAAAAACACCATTTACACTCACTTCCTAGTTCCATGAATGACATTTTTTGATTGAGATCATGAACCGATTGATGCTAGACCACCATTAAAAACCTGGAAGCACTGGACGGCCGTTTTGTTCCATTGTGGGACTCATCAGCAGTGCGCATTCACGATCCCGCTCGCGGGATTGGAACCCAAGGCCTTCAGTCTCCCGCACAAATGACCGTCCAGTGCTTTCAGGTTTTCACTGGTGGTCTAACATCAACTGATTCATTATCTCAACCAAAAACTTAATAATTTCCACAACCCCTAAACTGATAATGACATTTTTATCAATCATAAATATCCTTGAAAACACATATTGACAGTTTTTACTTAGTTCGCGTTAAAACATATCGTATCTCTCACTGAATTTTAAACTTCGTGGGGAAAATCAGTTTGGTAATCTCCT